GGAAATCAATAAATGTTATTCACCACATCAATAGACTTAAAAATAAGAACCATATGATCATCTCGATAGATGCGGAAAAAGCATTTGACAAAGTACAGCATCCCTTTATGTTCAAAACTCTAGAAAAACTAGGGATAACAGGAACATACCTCAATATTGTAAAAGCAATCTATGCTAAGCCTCAGGCTAGCATCATTCTGAATGGAGAAAAACTGAAGGCATTCCCTCTAAAATCTGGAACTAGACAGGGATGCCCTCTCTCTCCACTTCTGTTCAACATAGTTCTCGAAACACTGGCCAGAGCAATTAGACAGACGAAAGAAATTAAAGGCATAAAAATAGGAAAAGAAGAACTTAAATTATCACTATTTGCAGATGATATGATTCTATACCTAGCAGACCCAAAAGGCTCTACAAAGAAACTATTAGAGCTAATAAATGAATTCAGCAAAGTGGCAGGATATAAAATCAACACGCATAAATCAAAGGCATTCCTGTATATCAGCGACAAATCCTCTGAAATGGAAATGAGGACAACCACTCCATTCACCATATCTTCAAAAAAAATAAAATACTTGGGAATCAACCTAACAAAAGAGGTGAAAGACCTATACAATGAAAACTACAGAACCCTAAAGAGAGAAATAGAAGAAGATCTTAGAAGATGGAAAAATATACCCTGTTCATGGATAGGCAGAACTAACATCATCAAAATGGCGATATTACCAAAAGTTCTCTATAGGTTTAATGCAATGCCAATCAAAATCCCAACGGCATTTCTTGTAGAAATAGAGAAAGCAATCATGAAATTCATATGGAAAAATAAACGACCCAGAATAGCAAAAACAACTCTAAGCAGGAAGTGTGAATCAGGCGGTATAGCGATACCAGACTTCAAACTATACTACAGAGCAATAGTAACAAAAACAGCATGGTACTGGTACCAAAACAGGCGGGTGGACCAATGGTACAGAATAGAGGACACAGAAACCAATCCACAAAACTACAACTATCTTATATTTGATAAAGGGGCTAAAAGCATGCAATGGAGGAAGGATAGCATCTTCAACAAATGGTGCTGGGAAAACTGGAAATCCATATGCAACAAAATGAAACTGAATCCCTTTCTCTCGCCATGCACAAAAGTTAATTCAAAATGGATCAAGGAGCTTGATATCAAATCAGAGACACGCCGTCTGATAGAAGAAAAAGTTGGCTACGATCTACATTCGGTGGGGTCGGGCTCCAAATTCCTCAATAGGACACCCATAGCACAAAAGTTAATAACTAGAATCAACAAATGGGACTTACTCAAACTAAAAAGTTTTTTCTCAGCAAAAGAAACAATAAGAGAGGTAAATAGAGAGCCTACATCCTGGGAACAAATCTTTACTCCTCACACTTCAGATAGAGCCCTAATATCCAGAGTATACAAAGAACTCAAAAAAATTAGACAATAAGAGAACAAACAACTCAATCAACAAATGGGCCAAGGACCTGAACAGACACTTCTCAGAGGAGGACATACAATCAATCAACAAGTACATGAAAAAATGCTCACCATCTCTAGCAGTCAGAGAAATGCAAATCAAAACCACCCTAAGATACCATCTCACTCTAGTTAGGTTGGCAGCCATTATGAAGTCAAACAACAGCAAGTGCTGGCGAGGATGCGGGGAAAAGGGTACACTTGTACACTGCTGGTGGGACTGCAAATTGGTGCAGCCAATTTAGAAAGCAGTATGGAGATTTCTTGGAAAGCTGGGAATGGAGCCACCATTTGACCCAGCTATTCCCCTTCTCGGTCTATTCTCTAAAGACCTAAAAAGAGCATGCTATAGGGACACTGCTACATCGATGTTCATAGCAGCACAATTCACAATAGCAAGACTGTGGAACCAACCTAGATGCCCTTCAATAGATGAATGGATAAAAAAAATGTGGCATTTATACACAATGGAGTATTACTCTGCATTAAAAAATGACAAAATCATAGAATTTACAGGGAAATGGATGGCACTAGAGCAGATTATGCTAAGTGAAGCTAGCCAATCCCTAAAAAACAAATGCCAAATGTCTTCTTTGATATAAGGAGAGTAACTAAGAACAGAGTAGGATCGAAGAGCTCGAGAAGAAGATTAACATTAAACAGGGATGAGAGGTGGGAGGGAAAGGGAGAGAGAAGGGAAATTGCATGGAAATGGAAGGTCCCTCAGAGTTATATAAAAGTACATACAAGAGGAAGTGAGGGGAAAGGGAAAAATAATACAAGGGGGACAAATGAATGTCAGTAGAGGGGGCAGAGAGAGAAGAGGGGAGGGGAGGGGAGGGGAGGGGGGATAGTAGAGGATAGGAAAGGCAGCAGAACACAACAGACACTAGTATGGCAATATGTAAATCAATGGATGTGTAACTGATGTAATTCTGCAATCTGTATATGGGGTAAAAATGGGAGCTCATGACCCACTTGAATGAAAGTGTGAAATATGATATATCAAGAACTATGTAATGTTTTGAACAGCCAATAATAAAAAATTAAAAAAAAAAAGAAAAAAAAAAGCTTGGTACATGACATTCTCTAGGAAACCACTTTACATCTTCTCTAGAACTCATTATAAATACCAGAAATTCTATTAATATTTTTCTATCTGTAGTATTTTATCTCACTTCTTAGAAATAAAAGGTGTTGGTAGAAAAAAAAAAGGAATAACAATCTGTCTTGCTAAGGTCTTGTATTAAGTGAGCAAATATTTTTGAAACAATTAGTGTCTGGAGTAAACACTAAATAAATGCTTGCTATTATTAATATCTATGGAATATGGATATTGAGACTATTTGTATTTGAAATAAAGTAACATAAAAGAATGGTACCTGGATGAATTATGTAATAACTGTTTTTTTTTCTTTTCAGATTCCTTCAGATACATCAGAAATTTGTTGTATTATTAGGGCATCACCAGGAACTAGACAATTGAAAAATAAAGGTGATACTGTAAATAAGAAACATTCTCCTCCTAAAGATATTACTCAAGGTACTGTACTTTGAATGCAAAGCATATATAATAATCTGGATTACATAAAAATTTTTTCATTGTTTTTTCATTGGTAATAAATTGTAATCAGAATGTTCTTAAACAAAAGGCAAATGGTAAAATTATAAAAGTCTGGTCAGGTACTTGATTAAAATATTTTTTAAAGGCAAATAATTTAACATTTAAAAAAGTTAGCTTATGTCATTGACTTATCTAGGCCACTTCCTCTTGTAACAATTTGGAATTTCATGTTGTTTGGGTTTCATTTTAGTAGCATATGAAAAAGTTTTTACATTCACCTAACATTGGTTGAATATTTCCTCTGTGAAAGGCACTATGCTAAGAACTTTATCATCTCATTTATTTTTCACTATTTCAGGTTTGATAGGATATGTACTGTTATCCTATTTAAGACTCTGAGACTAAAAGTGTTTGCAGTTTGTTTAAGATCTACCAATTGGTGAAGAGGAATTCAATCCTTCGCAGCATTTAAACTTCAAATTAGTTTGTTTGTTTGTTGTATTCTCCTGAATGTGTCTACTCAATGGAACTTTGGAAACTTTTGTGAGCAAGCAGCCAGTGAAGCAACTGAAATTTAATGTATTATGTAGAACTTCAATTCATCCAGGCTGTCCACTCTTTATTTTTGTCCTCATTTCCTCCACGGTACCTGCTTTGAGCATTTTCTAAGTCCACAGAGATCGCTTTCTCTCTCTCTCTCTCTCTCTCTCTCTCTCTCTCTCGGTACCAGGGATCAAACCCGGGGTACTTACCTACTGAGTTGCATCCCTAGCCCTTTTTTATATTTTATTAGAGACAGGGTCTCACTGAGTTGCCTAGGACCTCACTAACTTGCTGAGGCTGGGTTTGAACTTGCAATCCTCCTCTCTCAGCCTCCTGAGTCACTGGGATTACAGGCATGCACCACTGTGCCCAGTGGAGACCTCTCTTTTTTAATAAGTTCCTTGGATACTTAATTGAACCCTTAATACACTTGTATTAGTTAGGGTTCTCAAAAAAAACCCACAACTAATAGGAGTTAGGTAAGTAGATAGATAGAAGTAATGAAAGATACAGAAATAGATACATAGAGAAATATATAGGTATATAGGAGGGGATATTTATGGGAATTGTTTTACATGCTTTTGAGAGCTACAAAGCCCTATAACATGCCATCTGCAAGCTGGAAAATCAGGGAAGCCAGTGGTGTAGCTGAGTCAAAGTCTGAAGTTCTGCCAGCCAAGGGAATCAATGGTATAACTCTCAGCCATAGACATGAAAAGCTGAGGGCTGCAGGTACAAATCCCAAAGTCTGTCAATGTAGAGTTCTGGTATCTGAGGCCAGGAATAGATGGGGATCCCACCTGTGTAAGAGAGTGAATTTGCCTTTCTTCTGAATTTTTGTTCTGTTCTGACACACACACACACACACACACACACACACACCTCTGTATGTATGTGTATGTATATATATATATATATATATATATATATATATACATACATACACATACATACATACATACACATAGAAATGTACATGTTTATATAAAGAAATTTATTTTAAAGAATTGACTTACATGGTTATGGGGTTTATCTGGACAAACCTGAAAATTATAGGATAGGCTGGCAGATTGGAACTCCTCCAGAAACTGATGGTATATTCTTTAAGCAGATTTCTTTTACAGAAGAACCTCAGTTTTGCTTTTGCTCTTAAGGCCTTTAAGCTGATTGGATGAGGTCTACCCACATTATCAATATTATAGATGCTAACCATATCTATAACATAACTTCATAGAAATATTTAAATTAGTATTTTATTGAATAGTTGTGTAAAATAGCCTAGCCAAGTTGTCTTATACAAGTAACCATTACAATTCAACCCTTGTCAAATATGCATTCATATACATCTTAACCATACTCAATTTTTAGTAACAAAGACTTTACTCATACTTCTGCCTAACATGATACAGCTGCCTTACATAATCCTTTCCCCAGAAGAGAATCCAAAGTCACTGGGTGATGTTTATTCTTCTCTTTGATAATCCTATACTATCCTATGATTTTAAAACTGTGATTAAAAGTTATTGGTAATATATTTATGTTATATGTTAAGATGGTAAGAGGAAAAAGAAAACAAACATATTTGCTTAACTAGTCATGTGATTATAATTGGTATTAACTAATTTATCCCACTACCCATTCCATATTCCCACTGCCTTCAGGTGATTGGGCTTTATGGTCCTTCATTCTTGATGGGTCTGGGCCATTAGTTGTCCTGCCTACATTGGATTAATCTTAACCACAGAGCATGGTAATCTTAAGAGACACTCTGAAGGATCTCCTGTATTCCAGACATGTTCTTTCTTATTGCCATTGTGAGGTAGTAATCAAATTTTCCCATAGTGGTCCAGATCAATCACCCCATACAATTGTATAAATCCCATATTGGCCTGTTGACTATGAGCCTAAAGTGGCTGGTGGATGTCTTTAACTTTCAGTTCTATGTCTCCTGGTGAAAGGATTTTCCCTTTGAAACTAAGACCTTTAAGCCAGAAAAGTATAAAGTCACAGAAACAGAAAGAAAGTTTTTCTAGTGGTCATCAGGAGTAATAATGAGTGGTACCACTTTTATGTCCATTCCTTTATTCCTGGCTATGGGAGAAAGTGTACCATATGAGAAAATACAGCCCTTGGAGAACTTTGCCCCAGTCTTCCAAGTTATTGCTACCTAACTGTGCTATTAATAAACCTTTGAAAGGCCATTCCACAGCTCTTATCAGGCTAGCTGCTTTAGCATGTTCAGGAACATAGTAGGACTAGATAATTCCATGAACATTGACCAATTTCTTTACTTCTTTTGCTGTGTAGTTCATTGGTCAGAATCAATATTGTATGTAATACCCTAAGAGTGGGTAAGGCATTCCATAAATTCATGGCGGTAGTTTTGGTAGAAGCATTGTTGGGGTGGGAGGGATCCATATCCGGAGTGTTTATTTCAGTAAAAACAAAATATTTCCCCTTCCATCATAGAAATTATCAAATATAATCAACCTGATACCAGTTTACTGACTGATCACTCTAAGAAATAGTGCCATATTAGGAACTCATTGTTGGTCTCTGCTGCTGTCAGATTGGGCACTGAGTAGTGACTGTACCCAGGTTGACCTTGGTAAATGGAAGTCTGTGTTGTAGGCCCTATAAAAAATTTCCATCCCTGCCACCATGGCCACTTAGTTTATGTGCTGTGAAGCAGAGAAAATCTCAGTCAGCCTCTTTCACTATCCTTATTCTGACAGAAGTTGCTGGGGAAAGAGACTGGTAGACAAAAGAACTGGCTATCCTTTTTTTTATTTTTTAAATTTTATTTATTTATTTTAGTTGTTGATGGACCTTTATTTTTTTATTTATATGTGGTACTGAGAATTGAACCCAGTGCCTCACACATTCAAGACAAGCACTCTACCATTGAGCCACAACTGCAGCCCAAGAACTGGCTATCCTAACCACTTGATTCTTTAAACCCTCTTCTGCTGAGGTCACCTTTTGGTGTGCATCTGTATGGAACATAGTTATCTTTACTTTTTTTTGAACATTCAGAGAGGTTTATCCAGTGCCTCTTCTCAAATGTTCTTGTCACTAATTTTCCAGACATGCTTCTTCCAAACTCCTGGTCATCCAACCAAACCATAGGTTACTATTTCTGAAATGAATATATAACCTAACATCTGGCCATTTCTCCTTCCAGCAAAGCAAATAACCAGATGTACTACTCAATGTTCTAACCACTGGGAGAATTTTTCTTCTCCAGTTTCTTTGAGATATTTCCCAGAGATGGGCAGAAAAACCTGTAAACCAAACCTGAGCTTTGTCTTCCTTAGTTAACTGATCCTAGAGAACTCCCCATGTCAGCATAAGTTCAGGCTGGGAGCGAGAAGGTAACCTAGCTAAAGCACAGGCTTGGGCACTTTAGGCTACTTTTTCACATAACTTACTTGTGCCTTCAGTACATGTTTAACCCCAATGTTTTTTATATATATATATCACCTTCATTTGATAACAAAGTCCTGATCTTCACACCAACTTTAGGGCTTAGAGGGTCAGATAGCACATAGTAGTCACATGGTAACTTGGTGGCCCGTGGTTAAGGCCAACTAATATGTCAAACACTGTTTCTCAAAAGGAGAGTAGTTACCCATTTAGGATGGCAGGACTTTATTCCAAAATCCTTAGAATCCACACTCTATAGATGTGACTCAACTATAGAGACCTGACAAAGGCTCCAAATAACATCTCTATCTGTCACAGACACTTCAAGCATCATTGGATCTGTTGGACCATATAGTGCAAGTGCCAGAGTCTTAAACAATAGTCTGGACCAGTTGTGGAACCTTCTCTTGTCCTGAGCCTCCTGTGAAATCTAGCAGCTTTTCAGGTCACTTAGTAAATGGGCTGAAGTAGCACACTCAAATGAGATAGCTGTTGGCTCCAAAATCTATAAAACCAACTAGGTATTATGCCTCTTTTTTGATTTTAGGAAGGGCCAGATGCAAGAACATATCCTTGGGCTGGGGTTGTGGTTCAGTGGTAAGAGTGCTTGCCTAACATGTGTGAGGCACTAGGTTCAATCCTCAGCACCACATTAAAACAATAAATAAAGGTTTTTTAAAAAAAGAATTTATCCTTTACTGTAGAAGGTATCTCTTATACCACAGACCCCTAGAAATTTCGCTGAGAGGGAATACTGCCCCTCAGTGACCTGGCAATTCTACTTCTAGGAATATACCTAGAAATAATGTGTACATATGTTCAACAACAGGTATATACTAGAATGTTCACAATGCATGATAGTCCCGATCTGAAAACTATCTACAAGTACATCAAGTAAAATGGATAAACTGTATATTCATATATTGGAATGCTATATAGCAATGAGAATCAACAATAAACTGTTAAATGCATCTGTTAAATGTTGACTCATATGAATTTTATATAAGATG